GGGACATCTGTAAAACTTTCAACAATAAAGATAAATTTTAAAAAATTAAATAAACTTTATGGCTTATAAGAGCAAAACGAAAGTAAAATAATATGGTGAATATGATCTAAAAAACCTCTTCATCCTGTCACACATAGTTTAAAAATATTTCAGTTCTAATTTACCAAACATAATTTCATAGAGGTTTCCATATCTTCCTAAGAGTGAAATTGAACCTCTGCATGTCTACTGCAAATATCGCCTACCAAAATTTTCTTGGGAATACAAAATCACTATTTCCCATGCCATTCTTGGAACTCCCAGGGCAAATCACAATGGACTCTAAACTAAAAAATATAGTGTTACCAATAACATAATATTAACATGTAGAACAATCATGTGCATTAACTGAAAAAAAGGAGGGAGCAAAACTGTTCATTCTGTTTGACTCCCCAAATACTAAGAATACCTATATCTAAGTAGTAGGACTAAGAATTTTTGAATTTTTTATTTATGTTTCTATAGTATCCAAAGTTTCTAAAATAAACATGTATAATTCCTACATCGAGAAAAACACTATTTTAGAGAGAAAAAACATCTGAGCAACTGAATTTATGTAGCATATGAAGCAGATGGTGAACCAGTGCATCTTAGGAAGGAACATCTTAGGATTCTGTGGGGCATGAAGGGCACCTGAACCATCCCTGGGATTTTCACACACAGTAAACTACGGAATTAGGTGAAAGGAGAGCACTTAACTAATAATAATGAAGCTTTCTGGAAAAAAATAATTCTTCTGTTTTAAAATATTTAAAAGCAGTGGGGGTGGGGCTGGGCAGGTATGGCTGTTGGTTGAGCGTCTTCCCATGTACTAAAAGGTTGCTGGTCCAATTCAGTCAGGGCACATGTGCAGGTTGCAGGTTCAGTCACCAGGATCAATGTTTCTCTCCCTCTCTTTCTCTCCTTTTCCCTTCCTCTCTAAAATCAATACAAACATTAAGAAAAGGGGAAAAAAAAGCAGTGGGGGTGGAACGATGCAATAGCTCAACTGCAAACGTATTCCAATCCTCATGAAACCCCAAGGATAAAGAAATATCTGAATACCTCTCAGCCTCATTAACTAACTCTTCATTCCTCCCAATAACACCCAGCTATCACCAAACTCTCACTTTTTTATTTTTATGATCATTAAAAATTACTTTCTTACTTCTGCTGTGAGCTTTTCTGAACCAGGCCCTGAGGTAGTGATCTTCACCAATGTCATTTCCCAGAAATAGCCCTATCCATCCTTCAAGACTTAGATCAAGCTCCTCCTTGTATTGGTCTGCCCAGGCTGCCGTAACAAAGAACCACAGACGAGGTGGCTTACACAACAGAAATTTACTTTCTCAGAGTTCTGGAGGCTGGAATTCCAAGACCAAAGTGTTGGCAGATCTGGTTTGTCCTGAGGCCTCTCTTCCTGGCTTGCAGATGGCCACCTGCCCACTGTGTCCCCACATGACCTTTTCTCTTTGCATGTGCACCCTGGCATCTCTTTCTCTCCTTCCCCCCCCTTCATCTTTCCTATAAGGGCACCAGTCATATTGGATTAGGGCCCACATTTATGACCTCATTTACCCTAATTACCTCTTTAAAAGCCGTATCTCCAAATATAGTCATTACAGGGGTTAGGACTTCAACATATAAATTTTGGAGGGGACACAGTTCAGCTCAAACACTCCTCTTCTACAAAGTTGGCCCGAAGTCTAACAGCTTCTTTCCCCCCTCCTTCTCAGTACCGTTCAATTTGATATCAGGGCCTCAGTACTGACCAGCATTAGGTACTCGATAAGTATTTCCCGACTCACTAATTCATTTGAGTGTTTGTTTTATCAATCACCTGGATGAAGAACAAATGAACAGCTATAAATTAACTGCTTATAAAATGCAGTCCTTCCATCAGGGTTGTTCTTAATGCTATGTCAATGGATAATGTCTTTCCTCTTGTCTGAAAGCTCTTTGAGTTTCCAGAAGTGCTAGCTACCATGTTTTGGGAATGACAGAGGAAAGCTCGGCTTATCAGAATTGATGTCTCAATTAAAATAAACCTCTCTCTCCTCCATTTTCTCTCTGCATTTATTGCGGTGAACAGGACAGAGGCCACACCTTATTCATCATGGTATCATGATTACAGCTTGGATCAAGATAACATTACCATTTTTTTTCAGCAAGATATTTACTGTTTGCATTAATTCTGTCTAATTCTTATATTTTCTTTTTCCTGTAGCTTCACATTACATTTGGTATTTTATTTATTGATCTCACCCATGCATGTCCCAAGGAGAAATCCATTACTAAAACTCAAAAGAAAATCTATTGACAGCATGTTTAACTGCTGTTTATTAAAAAATGTTTGCATTATTGATAGGAATAGGAATAGGAATATATTAATATAGTTTTAATATACGGAAGGGTTCCTTAGACTGTATACAGATTGATTCAGTCAACAAACACCTACCTACCAAGTGCTGGGGACTATTTGGACTTGGCAGACAAGATGATGAAGAAGGCTGACCATGTTTCTGCTCTAGTGAGGTTTATCACCCAGTGGGTGGAAAAAAAGTGACAATAAAATGACAGAAAAACAATTAAATTAAAAATAAACATACTATTCTCAGATTTAATAAGAGGGTAAACAGGTGACCAGGGTAGAAGGGATTCCAGGTGGTCCTGGAAGCTTCTCTAAGGAGGTAACAACCTGAATGACTAGAAGAGATCTTTGGCAGACAGAATAATGGTCCCCAAAGATGCCCACACTCTGATCCCCAGAACCTATGAACCACCTGCCTTACGTGGGAAAAGGAACATTGCAGATGTGATTAAATCAAGGACACTGAGATGAGGACATTTTACTGGAATAACCAGGTGGGCCTAATCTCCCCGCAAGGGTCCTCATTAAACCAGTCTTATAAGGGTCGGAATGGGAGAAGGAGATATGACGATGGAAACAGAGATTAGAATGAGGTGAAGAGAAGGCTGTGTGCCAAGGAATGCTGTAAGCCTCCAGAAACTGGAAAAAGCAAGGAACAATTCTCCCCTAGAGCCTCCAGCAGAATAGCCCTGCCAAGACCCATTTTGGGCCTTTGATCTCCAGAACTGTAAGACAATTGTTTTTTGTTGTTTTATGACATGAAGTTTATGGTAATGTATTACAGCAGCAATGGGAAACTAATATAGCATCTCTGGCAATGTTCTGGACATTTAAAAAAGCAGCTCCAATAAAGACTCGATTTCACCAGTGTGCAATGTCACTTTCCTCCACAGCTTCGTTATACTCCAGAGACTCGCAGACACCCATGAAGGCACAAGGATCAAACACAGGACTTGTGGTGACCACTAAAATGAATATTGACATGGTTTCCTCCCATTCCACGTGGTTGTCTACCATTCAGGAACCTACCCTCCCCATATGCCTGATTTAACAAGTATGCCAAAGAAAAGAAACATGTCTACTACTTGAGGTTATCTGGCAGAAATAATAAATGAAGTAGAATTACCCTGAATTCATGTGCTGCTAATAATCCAGTTTATTATTCAACACCACTGAAGTGAGGCAGGATGGCTCTGAGAAAATTCATTTTAGACCTTGCCTTTTTAGTTTAAAGGAAAAGAAAATGAATTTTTGAGAAGACAGAACTAGTATAATATCAGGATTTTCCTTTGGGGGTGGCAGCATGCCTAACATATATTGCC